TATATATGTTTGGGGATTTCATCTTGTTATAAAAATTGAAGCTAAGATATATATACAGAGATCTAACTTACTCTAAGTTTTTCATTGGTCTTTTCAAGCTTGTCCATGTTAGAGTCGCCCTCACGCTTGTGCTCATTCATAACGCGTCTGCATTCGGTCAGATCTTCTTTAAGTCTTTGCATCTCACGTTCGGCCGAGGCCATACGCCTTTCATAGCTGGCAACAGCCTCGCACAATCTGTCATTCTCCTATTGGGAGAAGCAAAATTCGTCATGAGGACATCAAATTGCAGTTCGCTACGGTCATGAAATGTAAAGCTAATAATGATTATATAAATCTACAGTATACTACGGAACGACTTAAAGAAACAAAGAAATCACTCAATTGTAAGGCAATCGACCAGTTCAGGCTTAAAATAGGTATGATTTTCTACAAATATGAATAGCTAACTCACTATCTCCAAAATTTAAATTATAAAATTAATTATTAAAACTACCTCTTGAGCCAAGTGTCCTGTAACTCTCGGATTTCAAGGTTTTGTTTGAATAGGTGGAGCGACATTTTAAATTATCATAAAATGAGAATGGTAGTTTGGAGATAAATTATGAGATAGTAGCAATCTTAGTCGTATCAAATAGGCTTTATTCATCATCGCTTCTATTAAAGGAAAACTTATTCCGCCATAATATGCCAAAAGTATTGCATTATTTGTGCTTGCTAGATGCCGTGAGATTGTTTGCTTGGATCAAATACAGGAATTGCTGTGTCAAGCTAAAGATTAGTTTTAATTTAAGAGATCAGTTTTACCGTCAGTTAAAGGTATTGAGGAAAAGTGAGCATAACTTCAATTTTTAATCAGATAGCCACTTGTGAAGAGAAACTAGTTCACATGATGTTGACGACAGTTTAAGAAATGTCATTTACTACATGCAAAAAATAAGTTATTCAGTTATAAATGGGAAATAATTTAGAACTTAGTCTTTATATGACATGTTAATAATATATAATGGGCCTTAAAATGTAATCCATTCTTAGAATTCTATAGGATATATGCTAAGATATGAAGACCAAAATGGTGTGGGTTCTACTTTAATTGCAGTCTCCTTTTGTACGCAAGTGGTTTTACCTCGAGTTCGCAACTTGATTAGGCAGCTACCTCTCTTAAATGTCGATATAGTTTGATCCAATGGGAGACTAAAGAGGAGACTATTAAGAAAGAAATCACATGCGGGAATTATCTCATCACACCTACATAATGAGAGGTGGATTGCGTCAAAAAGTGCGATGAGTAGTAAGAAAAAGGAATATCCAGGTGATTATGAAGGGGAATACAATAC